AAATTAGTTTTAATCGTTTAATCACCACCACAGCTTCTTGTCTCCATTGGCAACACGCACCATTTGTGTCCATTGCAAGTGACGTCTCAGGTGTCGGAGAGCGCAAGTGGCGATTGCAAGTGACTTCGTAATTTAGTTTCTTTTTTCTTGTCTTCACCACCTGGCTACTGTTGTAAAATGTTGAGAGATTCAAACAAAAAGTAATAAAAAATAGAACAAAATAAAAAATAAAGCCTGCAAGTGATGTCGCTAGCGGAAGCGCAAGTGTCTGAGAATGCACGTCTGAGAGTGCAAGTGCAAGGCTGCAGCCAGACCCTTCTCCTTTCCTGTGATGTTATCGGTCTTTTTGTTCCTCCACCCTTCTCATCTTTCAGAGACTTTTTCAGCATTATAGCCAGTACACTCTGAGAATAAAAGCTCCTCTGTCTACTTAAAAATGGCAAAATTTGATCCTACTCTGGTGGACTGCAAGTTAATTTTGGCTATGGTATCTCACCAACTAAAATCTAAATGTTTTTTTTTTCAGCTTCATCACACTAGATAACTCTTTTCATAGAACATTTGATTGAGTAAGCCAGATGATAAAGCATAACGATTCTTGTTATGAATATTTATTGACACATACACCATATATTAAAAGATAGTTTTATAACCAGAACCAAATACACTTTTAGTTTAGCTAAACATCCTCCTAAAATCGCCCACTCGATGCAATTTCCTGAAATGAATTAATAAAGAGTCTTCGTATTGGCCACTCGGACTATTAAGCAAACAAAGGTTTGAGCTCATTCAATCACATCCCCATATCGTGTGACTTTGGGATCTGCAGGTGCTGCAGGAGTTTGTGGTTCTTCCTCTAAGTGTATAATAAAGAAACAAATGGTCAGATTCCTGTGTCATGAAGTCCAAAATATAACAAAACAATTGAAGACAGTCTGTTCAAATCAGGGATCAAAGCAGACATAAAACATATAGATTAAAATGTACAGTCATCCCCTCGTTATCATAAAATAAACACTTACCCTTCCAAGAAGCAGAGAGATTGTTTTACCTTGGAAAAGTGTATTTTGTGATGACAGGCTGACTGTACATTATCAAAGATTTTGTACTCGCTGTAAATGGCAGCTGGTAAAGAATAAATTAATACTTAAGTCCATGTCGCCAAATAGATTCTGAGACATTAATGTACCGGTCAAAATTGAGTGAATTATTTACTGCTTAATGCCACAATTGGCACAAGGTATTTTATGAGCCTAGATTGAGACCTACACAACCACTAAAAAAAGAGACGTTTCTGTTCAAATGAAGGTTAATATTTCAGTCAGGATTAATCTATCCATTCATCATTTTTAATTACTAAAAAGAAACAAGCAAACTAGTAAATACTTACTAGGAGAGTTTCTGTCAGGAACATTTCCTGTCTCAAGAAATAACCACAAGTCTGAGCACTTCATGGTTTCCCAGCGAGTTACTGAATAGCTGAATATTGAGGACGAAACTGTACAGACCAAAAGAGAAAGCAGCTTAACTCACATGAATTATTATTATTATTATTTTTTTTAAATATTGCATTAAGCCAACATATTGTGTTTATAACACATATACACACACAAACAGTGTATTTATTTGTGTGTTATGAGTCTTGTCTTGCATGATAATGATGAAAATGCATCAGGCTTACCAATAGACACTAGAAGGTTCCACTGAAGGGGATATGGGATTCTTTTCTGAAGTACTCGCTGTGCAAAAAATAAACCAGCTGTGCCTGGTTGAGAGGTGTAAAATTTTCACCCAAAGCCAAAAGAACAAAATTAGTTAATAAAATAAAACTAATCAGAGGTTGTATTCACAGCTCACACTCATATATATATATTTCATATAAGTAAATTTGTCTCAGATGTTTCCCCCAAAGTTCCTTATAAGTCAAACGCAAATGAGACATTACATACACCAAAGTACAGATTCAAAAATTAATATGGATGGCATAACTCAAGATAAACTGACCAGGAAGGATTTGAAGAAAAATAGTTGAGTTCATACTGATATCTTGGATTTGATAAGGTATCTTTGCAAATCTGAGTATGAGACACTGTTTAGTTTTTTTTGAATCTCTAGAGAACACACATGTAAGATTACTATTTTGTTCTTTCTCAGTAGAAAAAATCTAATTCACAAAGGAACTTTAGCAAAAATATTTAATCACTGTGTTTAAGGAACAATTCTCACTTTTAACTAACGATTAACTACGACTTTTGCCTCAATAACCTCCTAATTTGCTGCTTATTAATAGTTAGTAAGGTAGTTGCTAAGTTTAGGTATGGGGTAGGATTAAGGGTTCTAAAATATGGTCAGGCAGAATAAGGCATTGATATTTTTCTTTATAAGTACTAATAAACAGTATGCTAGTAATAAGCATGCTAATATACTAGTAATATGCATGCTAATACTAGTTAATAGTAAGAATTAGTCCCTAAACTAAAGCGTTACCAAAAAGATATTAAAGCATTCTTATTTGTCATTTACTTTCACAAACACTAATTGTTCATAATGATCAGACACAACCTCTTCTTAATGTGAATATGACACTAACCCAGTATGAAGCTTGCTGTGCCTTTCATAAAGGCATAAGATTGACAAGCGGCGTACTGCTGCAAACCCTGAGGACAATGAAATATCATCACTATGGCATATGGAGTTATTGTGATGTAAGCTCAGGGGAGACTGGGGCTAGTTGTCACAAGAGCTAGGCTATATCTCAGTAGCCTTGCCTTTAAAACAAAAGCCTAGTAGCATAAATGCCACTGACTTCACCAGAAGAAAAATGGCATCTATGCTAATATTAGTCTATTTCATTCTTATTCCGAGGTCACCGTAGCCACCCAGATCCAGTCCATATCCAGACCAGATGGTGGATCAGCATCTAGAGACGACCTCTACAGCCCTGAATGTCAGCGGAGACCATGTCAACTAGATGAGCCCCAGAGACAGATCCCCTGCGAAGACCTTGTCACCTCGACGGCCATCAGCACACGACCACGGGAACCAGACGAGTCCTCTGCTCAATCTGACTTGCTTTGCAGCCTAGAATTAATCCACACCTTGCTGGTTTCATCTGGCAAGAGGAGAACTGGCCCCCCGACTGAGCCTGGTTTCTCCCAAGGATTTTTTTCTCCATTTCTGTCACCAATGGTGTTTTGGTTCCTTGCCACTGTCGCCTTTGGCTTGCTTAGTTGGGGACACAATTTCTGTGCAATACTGTCACAGACACTATTTGAAGAGAGATGAACTGAGCTGGATGATGACATCACTGAATCAATGATGAACCGAAATTAACTGAAAAACTGACTTTTCTATTGTCCTTTTGCATTATCAGCACATGTATTTTTCAGCTTAACACCGTAAAGCTGCTTTGACAATCTGTATTGTATAAACCTCTATATAAATAAAGGTGACTTGACTTGGCATAAATGTGTTTCTCTAGCACAAGATTTGTATAATGGTTTCATACACTTCATTGTTAAGCATCAAGTCCATTTTCCACTAAAACTTCAGTATGCGCTCAAACAAATCAAATATATAATGAAGGTTGACTTTGAATAAGAGGTTGAACTGTGAAATCTGAAGAGTATTTTTCATAAATGTCAAAATATGTTGGACAACACGTGTTTTCTGTAAGTTTACTGTATACAGCTAACTGGAAAGCCATTAGCCTACATTTTAAATAGATATTTGTGGACAATGGCTGTTTCTTTTCTTTTACTTTTTTTTCATAAGACTATAAATGTATTCGTCTCAAATCATTTAATTGTCAATAAACTGCTGGTTTGCATTGTGTTATAACTTTATAATTTTTAATAGGCAAGAACTGTGGAAATAAGAGTTTATTCCTTTAGTTCATTATGTGTCTGTACATAAAGTGGTTTTCATTGGAGTAAACAGAGTGACAACATGCCCCGGACTCCTCTATGAATTACATTTATGGCAGTAAATGATGGTGAAAATGTCACATCAGTCGAGCAGCAGTCACGCATTATCATATACAGTATACGCACCGGGTGCTTTGCTACAACCGCATCATCAACTTTAGTGAGACCGAGATTGACCATCCTGCAATAATTATGGGCTATAACCTCCAAACTGGTATGGAACCTTCAGCTTCGCTTTGTTATTGTTGTGCAACTTCCGCATGTGCAGCGAAGAACATGTGAAATGAGTAACAAGCTACAGACTCTCTATAGTGACCTCTTATGGACTGGATACGTTAATCCACTTTATGAATGAACACAAACACATTAATAACGCAGGGGACTAATAAAATAATCACAAAACATTTATTTATTTTTATTTATTATTGAGAAGGAAACATCTGAAATGCATTCATTTTTTATTTATTTAAATAAAGTAAACATACATTTATTTAAACACTGATTTTGGTAGATGTCCAACATTTGTTATGCGAGTTTGGTTTGTGATGGTGCTTGGCATTGTCTCCCTCTTTGCTGACTTTGGACATTTCTGAAAGATTAAAAAAAAAACGTGTATGTGTGTGTGTGTATATATATATATATATATATATATATACACACACACACACACACACACACACACACATATAATATATATATATATATATATATTGTTAAACACAACTGACAAGCATGTAAGACAATAATTAAAATTCTCAATATAACATGTATTAATAAATGTATTATATTTTAATAAATCAGATAGGGCTGTCAGTGGATTTTATTAGGAATGTTTCAAATTATAACTATAAATTGATTAGTTATAGATTATTTAGAGAAATTATAAATTCTATTCCTTATGAAATATGGACTAGTTACACAATTCATACCTATCCCTTTGTGGTCTGTTTTGATGTTGTTTTGTCCATTCAAGATTAGACCAACTAAACGAAACAGGCTGAAGCAGTCTCACATCCTCCACTGGATTAAAAAGGAAATGATAGCTAGCATTAATTGAAGTGATGATTCAGTGGTTACATCTTAAATCTGAAAAAATGTGTCAAGAAAAACTCACAGATTTGTTTGCTTATGCCTGGAAGTTTCTCTCTGTCTATGGGAACTTTTCTGTCTGAGTTCCACTGCAGTCTGGCTGTAGGGTTAGCATTTAGATATCAGCACATTTTAAAAATAAAAACACATAACACTGAGTATTAATGTGCACAAGCGCATAAGCACATGCATAGGCAAGTGTGTGTGTAAGGGTGGGCAAGGCCCTGTCCAGGGGATGGAAATTAACAGAGGCTTAGGACAAAAATGCCACTGCACAGTTAAACGAAATCCATTACGGCTGTCACAAATAAAATGAAAGAAAAGTTGATTGCAGCATTAAATTTGCTCATGATCTGCTCATGTTGCATCATCATTCTTTTTACAGTGTTGTGCATTATAACCAATCACACACGATTCTGTTGACTTTGTGAATGCAATGGCCAATCAGAGGCGTTCAGATGAGTCATCGCTGAAATGCTGGAGTTTTGTTCAGTGCATTCTTGTGAATTCTCTCATCATAAACAACAATGTGCAGATGTACTGTACATACAATGAAGACATTCATTCATCAAACACTGTATAGACAGCCTCACTGATTACAACTGGAGTTTTATTTTTTTTGAGAGTGCTTAAACTCATGCTACACTCAGTCATAATGTTCTTTGATAATGTAAATGTTCTCTGTATAATTTATTCACTGTTTGAATAACTGTGGAAGTGAACGCATCATAATTAGTAACTTAAATGTTTTTATTAATTTATGATCAAGTTAAATACAAATTCAGTCGTATTAAAATATTTTATGACATGACACCCATATCTGGTACTTGTCTAAAAAGACAGGATTATGATGCGTGTAGTTAATAGATTACACTAATATTAGGCTACTTTTAGTCTTACCCTGGAGTTGGTTCATCCTCCACCTATGGGCACACATGTTTATTATATGTGGAAGTTGTAGCTTATTTGCCTTCATTCTCCTCCTATTATTTTATAACAGCTTTCTGTTCATGGTTTATGTCATAAAAATCACTTGAGGAACTGTACCTGGGCTGATCGTGGCCCTAAAGTGTCTGAGGTCCTCTGGGGTTGATGATATGGTCGGGGACCGGAACATATACTCAGAATGTTCCTGCTTAGGAGCCGTAAGACAGTCAGTAGAGCTCACAGGAAACACAACAGCTGGACCCTGTCTGTCCGTCTTCAAGAAAGTATTTAAAACAAAATCTTAACACCACTTACAAACCATTTTGTATTAACATTACATCAAGACAACAAGGGTTCCCTGATCTACAAGGTTTAAGATTAACAGGAAAACCCCATTATAGGTAGTTATCGCAATACCTTAGATGTATGACTGGAAGATTGAATTCCTTTAGGACTATGCATCTGAACTGATGGTCGCCTTTCAAACACCAAAAAAAAGGATATTATTAAATCAAATCAGTTTTGACATAACACTTGAGAACAGCAACTGAAGTAACAATAGCTGCTTCTCATGTACTGTACTTTATGACACCTGTGTCTGTCTTTTCTAAGTTCAAGGGCTCTGTGCGGCACCATAGTGGGGTGGACCTTAGACTTGAGTGTAGCTGGTGAAACTGTGTCATTCTTTTTGATCTCACTTATCACTTGGATGCTTGGAGAAGGAGTGGAGTGTTTTGAGGCAGTCTGGTGGCTAGGGGAGTGCAGATACCTTAATAAATGACACAGACAGCACAGAAAAAAACACTTGAAATTACAATTACAATTAAAATAATACACCAATACAATAGTTAATACACAATGTTGGTATTAATACACCAATACTAATATTTCATTAATTGTAGAAAATTAATTTTAACTATTAACTAATTTTAATTTAATCTCCAAAACATAATATTAAACTATATCCCAGTTTGTTGTACAACCTTGTTACTTCATCATCACCACCCTACTGAAAATAGAACACTCAGTAAAAATGAGAATTTTCAGAATATAACATAATTTGGACCATTTCTACAGAAGGTAAATTGTAAAATTGTATTTATTTTTTTTCCTCCACACAGTGTTGATAGCTTTCATCAAGCTCAACTATGCATCTCAATCAGTCATTTTAATTTATGGTATATAAGTATAAATATAGGTATATACGTTTATAAGTTTTTACAATACTACAAACCCACATTTGATCCCAAACTAGGTAGTCTGTACTAAGTAACAATTAAAATTAAAATTTTTACCAAAATATATTTTTTACATTTTTTTTAATTATAGTTTTTAACTTAGTTTTGTGCAAACTTCATATAAAGTGACTGTAAAACAGCTTATAATAATATTTAATTTTACCTCTTGAGATGAACAACAAGAATCAAGCAAGTTCAAGTCTTTTTGTTTATACTCAGTTAAATTCATTTTTGAAGAATTGTAATTTCTGTTTTGTATATTCTTCATGGAAAGAGCTCTCTATTTCATACATTATACATTTATATTTATTAGGCATATCAATAGATAATTACATAATTGTAGATAAAATAATACATTTTTGACAATAATATGATTCATATATATTTACAGTTAACAGGTATTTTTCATTTGAACAAGTTGTGCATTTTCAAAGCAATCATTTGGCAAATCAGTGGCTTCTTTTAGGGAAAATATTATATCTCACATGATAACTTTCATAGCCCTAATCATAAAGCATTCAAAACAAAGAAATATGCTATTATGTTAGCACATTTGTGATGTTAAGGATTTTTCCCTAATTTACCTATGTGAGTGCAGGTATTCATCACGTGCTGTCTTCTTTGTGACCGGACTGCTCTGGCAGCGCCCCCTGGAGGTGATGGCTGTCACAACACAGGTGTATGCTGTGTTAGCAGACAGGCGACAAGCAGTGTATGACTTTTCTGTGCCCAGGTACACCACAAACTTATTCAGACTTAGCTCGTATTTGAAAAGTCTGCCCAAAGGAGCGACTGGAGCTCCCCAGTTTATCTGCAGTTCATGACGCCCCAGGACAGCTATGGCCAGAGCAGAAGGAGCATGATCCTGATCTTCTGCTGTCCTCACCTCAGTTACTGCTCTAGGACTCTCTGTATCCCCTGGACCAAGTGAACTTACACTCAGCTGATAGAAGGTACCAGGAGATAAACAGCTCACTGTAGCCCTGTCAGACAAAATACATAAATAAATAAACAAACAAACAGTACACTGCAGTAGCAAGTTCACTAGATTAAATTATCATTGCAAGACTATATTGATTATGCAAATTACAGCATAATAAACAAAAACAACATTGAAGCAATGCAATGAAGCAATGTAACTTAAAGGCGAAGTATGTAATTTTAGTGTAAAAAACATTAAATGCCTTGGTAAATCATTTTAATTCCATAATATAAGTTTTTTTAGGAGTAATATATCATATTCAACAACAAAAATGGGTCAAATGTGGTATTATCCATCATGAACTGATTTGTAAATTGTGGATGTGGATGCAGACTTGACACACTTCACCTTTAACATGTTATTATGAAAGACTAGTCTGACCCACCCCAGCAGAGTAGTGTTCTTCACCAGTGTGTCATTACAGTAGATCTGATATGATTTGGGTTTGGCTCCTTCCTCTGGCTCTATCCAGCACAGGCGTACCTGTGTAGCTGTACAGCCAATCACACAAAGCTCTCGTGGAGGTTTAAGTCTAGTGTCCAGTTGTTCTGGAGTAATATCCACAGGTTCACTGAAAGGACTAATGTCACCATCAGGTGTAGACAGGCTGAGCTGTAGGGAGAGGTGCTCCTTAGATTGCTTGGGAGAAACAGGTAAGGTCACCTGACACAACCGGCCATGGTACAGCATGACATCCTTGTCAAAGAGACTATAGAAACCCAAAGAAAAAATAGTGAATATTAAAATAGGTGCATGTGAAATTTTTAAGTAATCTAAGCAGACTGCATCCAAATAGAATCAGTAAACCACTAATAGCTCCACAATAATGTTATTCAAGATCAAAATAGCAACCTCTTTGCAAGTCTGCATTACATAGTTACAGGATCACAAAACAACCCAACCTGAAATATGCCATGCAATTTGTTAAAGGCATACTGAAATCATGTTCTGTCATGACAACTCTCGGAGGGATTGGCATGGTAATGTACATGACAATGTTAATGCATTTGGTCTTGGCGGAATA